AGAATGTTTTAGTAGCTCATGGGGAAATGAACCAACTTTAGCTCCTGGAAGGCCAAAATGAGCCTCAAAATGCGAGTCTGAAATTTCGCAATGCCTCGTTGTTTCAATAACATAAATTACTTTAAAAAGTCTATTCATTATTGCACATTGTTGTCACTTGAGTAAGGAACCATGTTATGCTGAAATAATAATAAGCTGGAAAATAACGATTTATAAACATAATAAAGTGATTTATTTTGTACAAAACATACTACACGTTTTAACAGAACATTGGTATGTCTTCTTCAGGTATAGCACTTTCATACAAAATTTAATATTAATTGAAATTATATTTTGAATTTGTTTCAGATGTAGCTTAAAATATATAACCCAAAGCTTTTTTAAAATTTCTTTCCAGCTATTATAATTTTCGAGATATCTGAAAAAATGTTCTCACAGATGAGACATTTTTTCCGCGCAGTTATTATAGCAAACCTATTATATATAACCATTTAGTTAATTACAAGCTAGTAAGCAAACAAAATACTACTGTGCTAAAATTGTTCTAAAAACATTAATATTTGTTGTACAGACGTTTTTTCACCACAAATACTCTAAAAGTAAAAATATTTTCTATAACGCAGTTGCTAGGCAGCCGGAAACGATCTTTCAAATACTAAATCCCCGGAAGTCCAAAAATTTGAATATTGATAAGCTACAATAATAAGGAAAATAATAATTATTAATAATTACAGCAACAACAATAATAATGAATACTAATGATAATTTCAAAAAATTATATTATCACAAATTGCATACATAAAAATTATATAAGTTATCATAATGAAAGCTTATCAATATTCATAATGGTGAAATTATGGACTGCTGGGTATCTAATATTTCGAGGATCGTTGCCAGCAGCTTGTACTTGTAGCAAACACACACGCTGATCAAGAATGACGATCGATATTTATTTTTTTCCAGTGCAAAAGTTTTATTCAGATCGTTTCGTCCAGCTTGTAGACACATCAATTTCGTAGTTTCATCTTACTCATTCTCTAAGTCAAGTGATAGGTGATCTTATCTCATCAATATTCAAATGTTTGGCCTTCCAAATATATAGTTATTGAAAGATCGTTCCTGGCTGCCTATTATCTAGCTACTGCGTTTCCGTAACTGTCATTTTGTCAGCCATCTTGGATTCAAAATAGTGTTCTCCAAACTGATAGAAATTATGCAAAATATAATATATCTAATCAAAAACTTACATCCATATTTCTTGCAGAACAACTATTCTTCACATTTTACCCTAAACAGAGTATTATTTTTCAAACTCTGTGTTCTAATTTAAATCAAGCAGATACTTTAAAACAAAGCTCACAATTCGACGTGGTCTCCAAGCTTAATTCTACACGGAATTAGAAAAACCTTTATATAAGTTCTAGACATGATAGCGAGATAATTTTTTTCAGCAAAATATTTTCCAATGCACATCATAAACATTTTAGCAGTACATTTTAAGTCAAAAATTATAAAATAATTACCAAATCTTCTAAAGGCAAATCCTTGTCACCTGAGTGCGAGTAATGATAAGATTGATGAACAAGTTGTAAAAAAATATTTATATCAAAACTATTTTATTAATTTAAAAGTATAATATACCTACTATGAATAATATCTACATTGTCAATAGACTACAGATATGTGACCACAACTACATATGATTTTGCAAAGTGAAATATGGAACGACAGATTTGCACAGGCGAGGCACTGCAAGATAATCAATTTGCAAAGTACGTAAAAAATTATATGTTTTCGCGCAAATTAGCGAACGTTTTATTTATAGAGTTCTTATTCGTTCTACAACTTAACTTGACCATTGTATGTGTAAAAATAATGTTACATTACGCAAAAATATATCAATAGTAGGTTTACAATCACACCTTTTCACCGATGATGTCTTTGTAAATTGAGTGAAATATACACGTCACAGTGACATCTAGCAAAAAGCTCGCGAAATAGCCCTTTGCACTCTCTCTCTGACATCTAGAAGTGCTGTCTGTCATAAATGTGTACTTGTTAACTTCGACTTGTGTTGTTGATCAATAAATATTTCTATTCTCTTTTTACACATTGTCTTATTTCTTTCTTTAAGTCGTCAAAGGTAACCAAATAATAATAATAATTGGTGTTAAAATAAATAATATTGTGTTATTAATCCTTACCGTAGACATTTGTAAGTTACTCGTATGTAATTGATGAAAATTATACTTCATCAACTTAACTTAGTCTCACCATAATAGTTGCTGTCCATGTAACTTAATAATATAAATAGCGTCTCCACCACTACTATGTCTGTCGTATCCCAGCCGACCTGATGGGTCTTAGTATTCAGCGAAAGACCTCGCCGGCACTGGATATACCAGCTACAGTGTGGTTCATATATTATTATACATTTTTCTTTCCTTTCACTCATAAGGCCCCCCAGTGGCACAGCGGTATGTCTGCGGACCTACATCGCTAGAATCCGGGTTTCGATACCCGTGGTGGGCAGAGCACAGATAGCCCATTGTGTAGCTTTGTGCTTAATTACAAACAAACAAACAATCACTCATAAGGTCTTAGAATTACTAATGTAGTCTTCTTTCGTCAACACTAGTTGCTTGATCCACTCCGGGAACAACAAGACTAACTTGCTAGTTCGTTATTTCTTCTGAACGATGAGTAAAATTATTTCAACTAAAAATGAATAATAACAATAAATATATGGTGCTAAAATAAATAAATAATATTAATTAAATTCATGAATATGATATTTTGCATTCCTTCTTTCTAAACTATTTTTTGTTTTGAGTTCTTCGTTGGTTAATTGTATTTTTTATTTTTTCTGTCTTGATCATTTTCTGGATAATTTGCAGCTGTTCTGCTCATGCAGTTTCACACTGTCGATCTTCTTTCTTGGTGGATTTTTAGGTATTTTGATGCTATTTCAAGACCTGGGAGGGTCAGGTGCAATGTTGACCTCTAGCGGTATTAAAACAAACATTATGAATATGCTACCACTTGCTGATGTTTGATGTAATTAATTGACTCGCGCTTGCAACAAATAACATGGGTTGCTATATTTGTTACATATACATTAAGTGGCACTTATACAAAACACCTTAAAAAGCAATACAGATAGATATTACATATTTTATGTGTTAAACCTAAATTATTTTTATGGTTATTTATCGCTGTACTGAACGAATCCAATAAATTAAACACAATAATGCTGTTGTTGCATATCTACTTGTTTCTTAATTTCCGGCAGAAATTCTTTCTGAAGAACTTCAGCGATATAAGTCCTTTCTTGATTAAACCAATTTATTCTTTCTCGATACAAACTTTAGTACACGGTAATTCCACAGTCAGTACGTTTCTCGTCTCTTTAAACTTAACAACTTTATAATACACGCTATAAATCACAGCGATTCACAATCTCGCATTTTGTTCTCTACCAGTGCAAAACACACGCTTGTTCAAAACAGAATCGTAAATTTCCTGAACTTTACCGTAACTACTGTTCGCTATCATACATTCATTCATTAATATTGACGCCGGCTTTCCCTGCCAGCTTATATACTAACAAAGAGCTTCACATGACTTCCGCTGTCGTAACACTATCTTAGTTGTCTGTTTCTTCAGAATTCTGCACAAAGTTACAAAACGCCAACTCTTGAGCTTTTGTTGTGTGATTGGCTACTGGGATTTGACTTTCACTCTTATAGTACTCACATGTCCCCAAGATGTATGCACACTAACCACTTGGCCATGTCCACACTAATAATAATATAAATATTTTTATAGTAAACGTGTGGTATGTTTTAACTAAAACAAAATAACTCAAAACCTTTAATATGGTTGAAATGCCTATTTAGTCCTTATGGTTGGTGCTTCCTTGATCATCGAGACAATGCAGTCGCGGGGGTGTAGAAAAAGTGACGATAAACATTCATGGGTTCAGTTTTGTTCATGGCGAATGTAAAAACAAAACAAAAAATGGATCACAATAGAAATATTGGTAAAATCGTACTCATAATTAGCTCATTTCATATTTCATCGTATTTTTAAACAACCTTTGATTTCTACATCTACCTATTAGTCTAAAAGTAGGATCCTGAATTTCCCCAAAATTGTTTCCATTTTTGATTTCACAAACCTATAAAATCACTAATTGCATTGAATGTAAGAATAAAAGTAAAGATTTGGCAGTTTATTCATGTACGGCAGCAATTTTGGGAGCCATTTGGCATATTGTGATATAAAAAATGCTTCGATCGGTTTAATAAGGTCAGAAATTAATTATCTGACTCACAAAACATAATAATAGACACAAAAAGCATTGTCCTAGCTAGTGTAGAAGATAAATTATGGTTTGGCAACTGGACTACACCTGAAGAAGAAAAATTAAAAGATTCAGTGTTATCAAATAAACACACACATACATATATAAATAGTGAAGAGTGACATTCAAGTGGAAGTAGTTTTAACAACTTTATAATAAACTTTAATTTCCTTATTCTTTCATTTTTTGAATATTTCGAACGTTGGAATATGCTTCAAAATTGGTTTTCAATATATAGTATATTATACCTTCTGACAATGAGTTGCGTTGTTACTCGAAACTTTCATCGTTGGAATACTTATTTTCACCACTGCTTTCATTTATCTTATTAAAATTTGACTGATTTATTGCAAGCATTATTAATCCTTGTTTTTTGGGAACAAATGCAACATATACATATGTTTTCCATAATTATTTTGACAATTTTTTGTGGTAGAGCTAGAGTTTTATTTATTGATTTACCACATATATTTGTTTCATTGAGAAGAATTTATATATTTTATAAGTAATCTTATCTTAATGTTATAAAATAAATGAGTACCAGTGTGTGTCAATACCATGTTTCTTCATGGCTCACTACGTTATTTCTAATAAAAATATCCAGAGCAAAACCCTCCGAAAGGCTAAAGCTAAATTCACGTTTTGAGTGATCTTACCTCTACTGCGGATATTTACATAGCCTTACAACTAAGTTTGGGTCAGAGAGTGAGTGAAAAAATTTATTTACTGCACAAAGCTCGCTTTTGTGTAACGCAAAACAACTAAATGCGTGTATCCTATTCCTTAACACAATGTCATTAATTAATATTAAACCTAGATTTTGCAATTTGCAGCTTTTAGTAAGTTGGACGAAACTCAGCTGTAAGCCTAACATGATATTAAAATCAACCATTAACTCGCCTGTTGTATGCCCAGCTTTGTTTTGCTTAACTAATCTTCTGAATGAATGTAGTATAATGGCTAAAGCTATGGGCTTAGATTTTTGTAAGTTGAAAACAAACAAATCATGTGATAAAATGAAAAGTAAGTTAAAACAGAAAACGACTTATTTAACATTAGCAGTAGCAAACTCTGTTTTTAGAAAGACTAAACTTGGATCGTTTTTAGGCATTCAATTTCATGAAACATTTTATTTTGAACAAGATCTTGAGAAAATTCATATTTCTGATACTGTGTATAAGCACTTTATTATTAGTGATAAATCCATAAAACTTTGGAACTTGAAAAATGGTAGACTACTGACACCTGCTTATAAGAATTTATGCTTTGCCAAGCATACAAAAGGTTCACAAAGAATGTTTTCAACATCTTGGATTTTATCAGCTAGAGATGTAACTAAAACATCACATAACTTGATTAAGTGCTGGAGTTGTGGAGTTGATCTTAAAAGAAATGATCCACTCTGCTTTTCGTGTGATGCTATACAAAAACCTGAAGGTAGCTCAAACTATTTTGCAGTTTTTGGTTTTCATCCTACATTTGATATTGACTCATCTGAATTGAGTATGAAATTCAAAAAACTTCAACAAAAACTTCATCCAGATAAATCTGTGAAGAAAACTAAGGTATGTTATTATAGCATTATTACTTAATGGTACCACAGTGTGTGTATATGTCAATCATTGTGAACCAGTCAGAATTATCCCAATTTATAACATTACAGAAGTACACGTTTATATATAAATATTTACTTGCAAGCTTGGTTTTCATGGATAACAAATTACATTTAGATCTTTGTAAGGCTTCCAAATTTATGCCCAAATCTAACAACAGAGTTCAAGTGAGGTGTGTTATTAATTTTTTTTTTTTACTGTATTATGCTGATATTTATTGAACATGAGCAATTAGCTAACATAGTTCTGCATAAAATTTATATTAATATCATATGCAATTGAAATCAACTTGTATTCAAAGAGCTTGAGAGAAATCTATAGAGAAAATTAACAACATTTTCTTTTTATCTAGATATACCAGATGTTTACTAAGTTACTTTGTACTTTTATAATAATAGTTTTATAGATCATAAGAAATTATAAATTCAGTTTTTCCATATTAGAAACACCACATATTAAGAAAATGAAATAACTGCTAAGGAAGTGGTTGTGGAAAGTTTCTAAAAAAATTTAAAATCTGTGTTATTAGGCATGCATAAACAAGAACCAAAAGATGGCAGAAGGCCATTTACTCTGAGAAGGTTACAGACACTGGCTAATATACCAACTGTATGAAATATTAAAACTTCTTTCATGCCTTACTGACACAGTCACTTCCTCTTGAAACTGATATAGTTTTTATGTTAAACACTGTATTAATTAGAAATACTACAATATTAATTATATACATTCTAAGGAGTAATTTACCATTTCTTATTATACCAAAGTTTTCAGAGTTATAAATTATAACATGTGAGTGACAACATAGGGTTCCTTGTTCCATTGTGGCTGTTCCAATAGTTAACATTAAGTTCATGTACATTGATCTTGGTCCATTGTGGCTGTTCCAATAGTTAATATTAAGTTCATGTACATTGATCTTGGTCCATTGTGGCTGTTCCAATAGTTAATATTAAGTTCAGGTACATTGATATTGGTCCATTGTGGCTGTTCCAATAGTTAATATTAAGTTCATGTACATTGATCATACTTCCCACTAATAATTTTTCAGGATATGGAATATTGTTTAAATCTTCTCTAGTGAAAACTGAAGAAAAAGAAAAGTTTCACATTGCATTCCCTTTAAATTATTTCTTAATAAATTGTGAGTAAAAATTTATTAGTATCACACATGTAATCTGCTAAAAATTCAGAGGGTGTGCCACACATTAAGGTGACAGAAGGTCATTTGGCCAATTATTTTCAATCCTTATCAATAAAAAAAAATGATTTAATGTAAATGAAAACAGCAGTCAAGGTGACAGATGACTATTTTGCCAGTTCAGGTCATTCTTAACAACATAAATATAGCCCTTAATATCCATATATTTATCCAACAAAATTTTAATTAACTTAACATTAAAACATCATCAGGTGAACTTTACAAGTAGATAACTCATAATAAAAAGTTGAAAAAAATGACTGTACTTCAACTTTCAAAGCCTAAACATGTTATCTCTAAAAATTCAAGTTTTATATTTTCAATCTTTTCATTTTACCACTCAATCTAAAAATTTTGAATAATCACATTTTGTCCTTGCCCCTCGCCATTCTTCTGTACTCTAGAGAAGATGACTAAAGCCAGGTATTATTCTAGTGTTCTTAAATTTGGGTAATAAGCTGAACTCAATGTTACCAATGGCAACTCATGATCCATGAGCTAATCACCCTGTTAGATAAAATAAAACTGTCTTAATTAGAGCCTAGTATGTCTGTTTCCTATCATAAACTGAGGTCCTCTCACCATGTTGTTTTCAGAATACAACATAAAAAAATCAGAGGCTTTTATCTTTTCAATTTCAAGATAATCTTGTAACCTTCAACAAGAGATAGTCTCTTACCCTTTCTTTCTCAAGAGAAAATAAGACATCTTAACCTGTACCTATAAGATAATCCCTTCATTCACAGAAACAACTTAGTAACCCTCCTTTGAACCCTGTCCAATAAATCAGTGTCCTTTCTTAGATATGGTGACCAAAACTGCACACAGTATTTCAAATGAAGCCTAACTTGTGATTTGTAGTACATACTTATTCCTTTGACTTGTGATCAGTATGTATATAAATAAATCCTAAAATTATATTAGTTTTGCTACTGACAACATAGATTTCTATCTATAATAAACATGTTACACAAGTTATAAGAACCCAAATACAATACCTTGGACTGTTTACCTTAGAAAGAACACTGAGTTGTTGGAAAGGGTTCAGAGGAGGGTTACTAGAATGATACCTGAGATGGAAAGATTGTCATAAGAGAAGAGATTAAGATCTTTGAAAATTATTTTTCTTGAAAAATAAAATGAAGATGAGGTGGTTTGATTGAAATGTTTAAGATTGTCAAAGGAAATGATAAGGTTGATGCATCATCTTTTTTTTCTGTACTTAATGGTGAGAATAGTAGGACTAGGGGCCAAAAACATAAATTTTTGGCAGGATGGAAGTCATCTTCAGCAGACAATTTTGGTTTTATAACAGGGTTTTTGTTTTTTGCAATGGGTTGCCTTCAGATGTGATGGATGCAGTAAATTTAAGGGAGTTTAAGGGTAGGCTTGAAGAATAATTGAGTTATAAAGGCAGGCTATGAGACTTTTTTTTTAGTTTAGTTTAGTGGATGTGGTGGCCTTTATGTTATGGTATTATTATTAAAAGCCATTTGCAAACTGTTTTTAAAACTTATCAACTGATCCAAGTCATTCTGTTAAAGCTCAACAACCTAAATACAGTTTAAAATACCCAAAATTTTAATATCATCAGCAAACTTTACTAATTATACCACTATCAATATCATTAGTGTAAATAAGAAAAAGCAAAGGTCCAGCACTGACCCATGAGGAACACCACTTGTAACAAAGGCTCTCTTTGACTGGATTCTACTAATAATTTTTTGTTTTGTCTTTTATAATAATCTTTTCCCCAACCTCCACTGATGCAACTTTATTATTTATTCTTCTGTGTGGTAGTTCATCAAATCTTTTTCAAAAACCTAAGTACAATAAATATGCATAATTTCCATCATCCTGATAACAAGTAACATTTTGATCATTCTTAGGGAAATATTAGAATTGACATGAATCATGTAGATACTTACCCATGATGGTAAATAGAAAGATGGAGAGGTTAAAAATAAAGCACCAGGACCACATAAGATTTTTTCCCAGAGTTTTAAAAGAGATCAAAGATTAGATATGTAAGCCTGTCCATTTCATTTTTGTAGTCCAGTAGAAAGTGGGCAGATGCCCGAGGACTTGAGAGTTGCTAATGTTACTCCTATTTTTAAAGGAGGTAATAAAAGTTATCCTTGTAGTGAGAAAAATTGTAGTCTGATAAAAGAAACCACAGGGAAATATTGTCTTATTAACCTGTTAATTTTTCAAGGATGTTACTTATTACTTTTAAAATAGAAAAGTGTAAACAGATTTTCAAAAAGTTTTGATAAGGTGCTACACAGAATATTAGCTAAGAAAATCTCATCAGTGGAGGTTGGGACCTGATGTTCAACATTATGGAGCTCATAGATTAAAGATATGTTGTTAGGTGATACATCTGAAGTGTGGGACCTTACTGTGTCAGTTGTTGACCCATGGTTGTATATTCCTTGTTAACCATGGATCAGTTAGTTGAAGCAAGAACCACCCTAGACTTACCAGCAGCGGAGAAGCCAGCAGATCCAATACCACAGGCAGAATCAAGCCTACAGATAGCCCAAAAGCTGAGGATGTCCCTGATGCCTTCCCCAGCTCTTGTGAATGAGTTTTGGTAGTTGTCCAGATATCAGAAGCTATCCATTGCCATGTGTTTGACCACCTCCAAGAATCAACATCAGATGTATGTTCTCTACACCAGGACCATTACATTCCAAAGCCATGAAACATGCTTCTGAAGCTGAAATCAGTTTGAAGTTTGATTGGAATTTCCATCATGAAAGGATAACCATCCACAATACAACTACTAACCAGGTACCACCACCAACATCATCAATGGCCAATAAGTTTGAGGTGAACAAGGAGGCCTCGACTTCAAAGGTGGTCAAACCACTGCTGCTCAAAAGGTCACACAAGACACGACTATAGCAGCTGAGAACTGATCTACCAATGATCCCATGCATCATATAACTAATTTTGCAGCAGATGCTACCACTGAAGTGGTCACAAAGTGGACTAAAGCAGGACATTGTATAACTGAGAGGAAGACCAGTTGCATCAGACTGACACACTGCCTTCTTGATTGTAGGAAGAAGTCTGCCAGCTACATCCAGAGCTAGTTCAGATGAAGAAAGCTCTGGCCCAAGACCAAGACATGATCGATGCTGTTACTTTGGCCAGTTAATGGTCAACTGCTGCTTTGGAAGGTTTATAGGGTTGAGGTGTGGGAAGTTGTACATCATGCTTGTCATTGGGTGTATTTGTATGTTTTTATTGTGTGTGCATGTATTTAGTCTGAATGAGTTTCGCCTATTTTCTTTTGATTTAGGTGAAGTGTTGTATGTATGTGGATATCTGAATTTTGACTTCTTTATTGTTTTGCATTTTTTCTTTGTATCTATAGTTATAGTATTTTAAAATGAGTAATTGGTTAAATTAAAGTGTACGTAATTTGCTATGGTTGGTAGAGTGTTTGAGTTTATTTGGTTTTTATGATGGAAAGGTACTAATTTTAGTTTGTTTATACTTTTACGGTTTTCTTTTTTTGTTTATCATAGTGATGTTTATTTGTACTTGTTCTTTGAATGTTCTGAATAATTGTGTAAAATAGTTGTATTAATTACTGTACCTAAACATCATTTAAAGACTAGCTCCCTGATATTTTCCTAATCTCTGTTAAAGAGCTGTTTTGCATTTTAAAACTTGAAGTTTTGCATTATACTTGTTGCTTTGTTATTAAAAGATGTTATTTTTTGTGTATAATTTCATTTTTAAAGTGAATTTGGTTTTATGTATCATTCTTAAAGGGCATTTTTCATGTTGACCATCAAATGGTAATTTTTGTTAAAGCATTCAGTGTTTTGTCTTAATTATTGTTAAATGGTTTGCAGTATGATGTTGTATATTGAGATTTGTACATTTCACATGTTATATTTTAATTGTAAATTGCATGGATTCATTGTAGAAGTGTATTTATTTTGTGTAATCATTGTTGAAGAGTTTTCCATTATTACATTTCTTTGTTAAAAAGTTGTGTTGTCTGTAAGTATTTACAAGGGAAGGGAAGTATTCCTTGACCAGTGTGCATGTATTGGTTTTGAAATTTAGATAATTTTCAGGCTGAGGAAAAGTATGATAATTATGAATACCATGCATTTTTTACATTCTTATTTTAGTACCTTATTTTTTTGGAATTAATTACTTATTCTGTGTATATGCAATTTTCACACAACACATAGTCAACAAAGTTAAGTTGATTTTGTTCTAGCTGCCCTTGTTCGTTTTTCATTTCTGAAGACAACACCTGTTTTGCCCATGGGAGGTATAGATGTAATGCTGCACATGGTGCAAGAATACAGACAGCTGTTTTCTACTATGGTAGGTCAGTTGTTATCTCAAGGTTGCAACTTCTCTTGGAAGGTTAGGCTTAAATAATCTGGTTTATAATCACTAGGAAGATGGTCAACTTGCAATCCAGTTCCAAGTGCCAGTCCAGTGTCTAAGCAAGTGCACACATACTGTGTTTGCATTGTAATAAAGGTTATTTATTGTGTTTACATTGTGTGCAATCTCTTTATTTAATTCGCACAAACTGTGTCAGAGTTAAAGAACTCAAAATTACTTCACACTAGGTATCTTGTCAATTCTTTTGTTATTCAATGGATTTATCCCTTAATTCTCAGGATGATCAGTTTAACCTGAATATACCAAATATTTTTGATGTTTTGAGCTAAAAGTCTTTTATAATACATTATAGCCTTGACAATAGCTTTCTTGATTTTTTATTGCTTAATTTTTCAAGAAACCTCAGCATTCTCCATTTTGATAATATATTACACATTTTTATATGATCTTTCAAACTACTTTGGCATTTGTAATGATTTTTATAAGTTATTCATTATCAATTGCTTAAAATCAAGAACAACATGAGTTTTTCACCTTGCATTCCATCTCACTAAAATCACCAAAGGTAATGATGCTATGATTAGAATTAAAAATATTAAAATCATAACCTTTTTAGTAGGCTTTGTATAAAATTCTGTGATACAACAATATGAAACTAGTCAAACATTACTGGGAAGATCAACTTTTCCACTATCTGATAAATGTATTTATTATTATTTCAGTATAATGTATGTTCTATGATAACATCTATTTCTAGGATTAAACAGGTGAACAGAAAAGTGTTAGCTTTAAAACTGATGAAATTTCTTGATACATTGGACTTAGATAATGATATTCAACTAATTAAACAAACATAGGTATAGCAGTTGTGAAGAATAAAACTAAAGCATAGAAAGTCTGTATAATATGAATACAACAAGGGTAGGGTTGCACATTTGATTGGTGAAAAAAATTGGAAAATATTAGTATATTAACAAATATGGTTAACTAAATTTACTTTATGTAGTCGATTAACAATGAGCATTAAAAACGTTATGCTTTATTATGAAGTTTCTAATGACATTGTTTTAGTCCTTTTTTATACGTCACTCTTAAATATCGACATATCACTTAGAAAGTGAAGTTACTACCTTTTTTATTTGTTATGTCAAGTTTACTAACAAACACAGTTTGCTTTATTGCATAGCCTCTATAACTTCCAAAATGCATATCTGCAGTTTTTATTCAGTATCCTTGTATATCATACCTGGTATTTACTCTCCCCTATCAAGAAGTATCACTAAATTAGCAAAGTAGAGTGAAATGTATAATTGATAACTCTTAACATAAAATACATAATACCATGTGTGGGATGCACACTTTGACCCCCTCTGTGCATATAGTAACACATAAACAGAACACTATACCTTGCTAACTTGTGTGTTTAAGAGAATTAAAAAGTTAAGTTAAGCACTGTAACCATGTAACTAGTACAGACAGTCCTGAATGATGTAAGTAATTCCACTCGGGGGTTTTTGTCAGGGCTAAGACAAAAAATTGCCTTTCCTCACCTTCACCACATAATGTTGGTGTAGTGCCATGTGGCTGTACATTAGGAAACTTTGATTTCTTCTCAAAGAACACATCAACAGCTTTGGTGGGAAGATTTAAATTTCTGGCTCCATCTTTTCTTTATGCAAGTCAGCATATCCAAGATGAAGGTGTCCAGTCAGTTTGATTTCCTCCATTGGTATGAAGCACCTCTCAATCAGATCATTTAAAGATAACATAAGTCTTACACATCAGTGAATTATGCAATGACGGATTAATTAATGAACTTTCTTCCAAACTTGATTAGGGGCCTGCCCCTTGAAACTTGCACGGACAAACTCTTTCAGCTCATGCCACTGATCAAGTAACTCGTCTGTGACATCCTCACCTGGGTCTGTGATTGCAGAAAAGTGATCTGTAGCCACCTTCAGGCTAACATGTCATGCTTACATAGACTTGTGGGATCAGATGGCCACAATTTTGTGTGCAGGCCAGACACACAGTTTTATACATTTTTCACATTATCTAGGTGGTACCCTTCTAATTTTGTTATGTACTTTTTTGTAATTACTGTTGAAAAAAGCCAGGCCTTCATTTACATATTTCATGTGAACACTCATGTAGCTTGCTTCCCCTGTCAATGTTGCAGTTTCCAGCAGAGCTGACAACTTGCTCTATTCTTTGGACATGCATAGTGTTTTAAGATTCTTCAAAGCAGCCTTGAGGTTTTCCTCTGCAGAAAGCATTTGTGGGATTAAAATTACATCTCCCTGCTAGTGACCGATTTAGACAGTGGTAAGAGGAGCTCCTAAAAGAAGATATAGTAAATACAAGCTTCAATGTGGTGATTTTGTTTAGCAAACCTTTGGCCTTGGTTGATCATGCTTTGGGTCTGCAGCCATAAAATAAGTTTGTGTGACCAGCTAGCAGCTTATGCTAAACCCAGCAAGGTCTATGGGCTTTTTTGTGCTTGAGAACTTCAGCCTTTATGGAATTTGCTAGTTTTTGTATCTCCAATATCTTTTAGGGCTGTTGTGGTATAAAGAGTACACCTAGGACAGTTATGATTTTTTCATAATAAGCATGTTTGAAAACATGTCTCGCAGCTAATTCAGGCTGATGGTTGAAACATTGCACAGTAACAAGCCAGGGATGGCTCTTCTGTAACCTGGCTACCACATCCCTTTTCAATCCTACATTAACATTGATTCCACCAGCACTGAGGCTCACCATATGTTATGCCTTGTCCTGGAGCTTCAAACCCACCTTAGCCAAAGTATCTTTTAACAGCATAGGCAGCCCATCAGCACTCTCATCACTGATATTTTACATGCATGATAAGCACAATGTATCTTTTTGCAAAAAAACATTAATAAACACAAATATACATAAATTTAATTAAATGTAGTATGCATATATTGAAATAAAACATGAAATGTAGATCAAAGTAAGAGGAACTATAGTTATTAAAAGTAGTCGAGTAAAGTAAGATATTTTTTTTAAATGATTACTTACAAAACTTAAAAAGTTATGAGAGTTGATATCAACATTGCAATAAATGATAATTTGTTTTAATGTAAGCTGAGTGTTCAAGGTACATTCCAAATGACACAATTTTTCTGAATTGTTATTGAAAGTATCTATAAGATTTAACCAAAAAATTATATTAAAATACTTTATGAAACTGTATTTAGTTTATGTGAGTATTTTTCTAGTTTACTTTAGTAGAATTTACATGTATGATATCCATAACATTGGCTTTCTTTTTTGTTTTTTTAACATTTGAGTTCTTGTATGTACAGGTTAAGAGAACTTATAAGACAAGGTATAATTTGAGAAATAGTGTCGATTTATCCATCTAAATACATGTGCAGGGTCATCGAGAGCCCGTCCATGCCCCAGGGTCAGTAATATCATTGGGCCCCCCCCTTTCATTCTATTTGTTAATTTTTGCTAATTTTTCATAAAAGAAATTTAGGTGACAAATTTCTTCATGAATCCATGAAAAAGCAGTGGTTATTTCAGCTCATTAAGTAGCATGTACTTCTACTGAGCTTTGGAGTATCTCACTGTTGGGTCTCTCAACCAACCACTGGCCCCTCTCGTCAGCCCTGTACACGTGCATCAAAGTTATTTTTTTTTATAAGTTTACAGTGTATATCATTTAAAACTCATTAAATTCACCAGATATGTGTATTTAGTTCAGTTGTTATTGTGACAATATTCTGTGCCTTCCAGAAAGAAAAATTATACTCCCAAGGTCAGTCAGCTATCGTAAATAAAGCTTATCAGACTCTTCAGAAACCACTAAACCGAGGACTCTACCTTCTGAAATTACTTGGATATCCACTTGAAGAGGATGAGATTGATATGGAGGAGGGATTTCTGACAGAGATAATGGAAATCAATGAACAAATATCTGAAATCACAGATTTATCAGAAATAGAAGCAATTGCTCATCAGAATTCCCATATTCTTCAAGAAATGGTTACTAGTGTCCAATTAGCGTTTAGAGAAAACAGACTAGAAGATGCCAGAATAATGTTGGCCAAGATGATATACTACACTAATATTGAAGATAAAATAAAAGATGCATTTCTAGCTTTGGGGAAAGGTAATATTTAGTTAAGAGCAGTATTTTTAGAATACTATACGCAAGTTTTCTTGAAAGTTCTGAAGTGCCATATTTGCTCTCTCTCTCTCTCTCTTACTTTTTTTATGGCTAAGATAATATTGATGTCTTTATTGGTGCTGATAAATGTATCGGTAATTAAAAAAGAAGTCTAGAAAGTTTTCTTGTACAATTTGTTATTTTAATGAAAATTTTCTTACCAAAAATCATTTCTTGAAAAAGGAAATTGTTGTTATGCATATTAGAAAGCTTTTAAAAGTACCATTTGGAAAGTTCGGTATTGTTCTTAGAAGTTTAACATTAATTTGAAATACATTGAAAAGCTTCCCCCAGTGGCTTAGTGGCATATAAGGGTTTATCATGCTAAAAATCAGGTTTTGATACTCACAGGGGGCACAGCATTGTGTATCATTGTGCTCAGCATCAAAGAAACAAACAATACACTGAAAAATCAGTATAAGTACTGGAAATTAGAAGTTCATCTTGATGTAAAATAAACGTTTCTGTTTTTATTGAAATGATAATGACTGACTGAAATTACATATTTTCATGTACGTGTCTTCCATTACAGTTACTTTGATTCAAATTTTGTAAATGATTTTTTTTCAATTACATTATCTCGTGTCTAAAGAATATTTAACATTCATCTAAATAGATGAATATCCACTGTTTTAAAATACTGATCAGAAAGATAGTGACGAATTACTTGTTTGTTACTTTTATCAGTGATTGTAGATTGGATTTCAAGGATAAACCTAGAATTTGAATGATTTGTCAATGATTTCACATTTTCAGCATGTAAAAATATGACTGGAGGACTTTAAAATTTTCATTTCTTCTAGTGTATCGGCACACAGTTCTTGATTAAAGGAAATATAGGGTTAGACCAATAGAGAATCATTTTCCTAAGTTGTGTGTATGAAAGTTAAGTAGCTCTTTCCTTAAACTTTTTATAAGAATAATTTAATGAAAAACATCAGGCTTTTTTTCTTGAAAATTTGATAATTTTGAAAAGCAATGTGAAAATAAGCTGTCATTTTAGTTTTTAATTTATTCAATAAAATGTTTAACTGTTTTAAATATATTTTTAGTCATTTGTTTTTTTTTTTTTTTCATAAAATTTATTTTGAAATTTGATTCAGGATATTTTTTGTACTTCTACAGACTAACTTTAAGATTTGAATACTTAGGCTGTTGTCTGTTTGATTTAATTTCTTCAGACACTTAAGAAAACCTTGATCTTTCATATTCATCAAACACATTTTGTTTCATTTTTTGTCTCACACTTTATGTCTTGTTTCCTTAAAAGGGGGCCAAAGGCTGCCTGGAGAGGATCATCTGTTTTTTAACTACTCACACCACTTTTCAGTAGTGTATTGTCTGTCATTTAGTCAGTAGACACTAAAATAACATCACATAAGGTATGCTTAACATTGCAATTTGTACTGTTATGACATCAATAAAATGGGTGCATGCCATGAATCATGAGAAGAATTATGCACTCTGTAGGCTACAACATACCGTGACATATAAACTTGAGAGAAATAAAAATATTTGTTGCTCTTAATTTTGGTTTTATTTACTCTTGAAAAATAACATTTGTGGGGACCATGCAGAAGTACATTTAGTATATAAATCATTTGTGCCATGTTTAAGTTTCTACTTGCATTATCTAAGTTACGATTTGATCTTCATACTAATCGAAAAAAAGAGAAAGTATAATAAAAGAAAATACTGTTACATTGCATAGTTTACTGTTAAGGTTGTGAAAGAAGAATAGGAAAGAAATGAAACCAATTATTGAGTAACTTAAATATCATAAAGACACTTAAGATTTATTGGTGTAGGTTTTGTCAATTTTATACACACACACACATACTTTGTAGATAACAAAAGTTGACTTTAAAATTTGAAGAAAAGGGTTTATATCTCCAAAATTCGTTGTTAGTTTCACTTTTATCAAAGATAACAGCAAGGAGATTGAATCCATTTAGGTTTCTATTAACAGATATAAAGAGAAAAAGGCTTTTATTTGGAATTTATTAAAAACACCAGATGACAATGATGAAATTAGTGAGAAACTTTACAATGAGATTAAAATTTCAGCTGTTAATGAAATTATAATTGTATGTGATTTTAATTTCAGATATATAGGTTGGGAAATGCTAGAGTCAAACCATGAAAGAGAAAAGTTTTTGGAAACTGTTCAAGATGGTTTTCTTCACCAATTGGTCAAACAATGCTATATTGTTAACTTCATATACAGAAAAGATTGAGAGGGTGGAAATTGTTGAACATCTGGGTGCAAGTGATCATTGCTCTATTAGGTTTGATGTTTTGCTGC